GTGAAACAATAAGTCGATGTTTCTCTCTCTCTTTCTCCTTAAAGTCAATAAATAAAAATTTAAAAAATATTAAGCAGTCCTGGTGTATCTAGGATGATTCTTTTCTGACCAGTGCTGGAGAAATAGCTGCAACTGCTCAACCCTTAGATTGTCCCTTCCTATGATAGCTGTCATCCATCTGTTCTGTCACACAAAATATACTATAAATTAGGCTTCAGTTTTAAAGAGACCAATATAATCATAGTAAATGTAAATCTTTGGTCTTAAAACTTTTTAGATAAATTCCAACCAGTGACAACAGAAAGAGTCTTTTGTCTTCCATTTCCAAAAATAGACAAAACAAATTCTCCTGGCAACCTGGCTGTGTTCTAAAAAGAATGGATCTAGTAATCAGTAGATTTATCAACTAGCTTCTAAGGAACAGAATGTGGCAGAGGCTATGAACTGTCCCTGCCAATATGAGGTTGCAATATCAATAGTAATCAATATCTATACTAATAAAAGCCTTGGTGGCCCTCGTGCCCTCACATCATCACAAGATGGCCACCCCCACATCGTCACAAGATAGCCATCACAAGATGGCCACCACAAGATGGCCGGCAGGGGAGGGCAGTTGGGGGCGAACAGGCCGGCAGGGGAGGGCAGTTGGGGGCAAACAGGCCGGCAGGGGAGGGCAGTTGGGGGCAAACAGGCCGGCAGGGGAGGGCAGTTGGGGGCAAACAGGCCGGCAGGGGAGGGCAGTTGGGGGCAAACAGGCCGGCAGGGGAGGGCAGTTGGGGGTGACCAGACTGGCAGGTGAGTGCACTTGGGGGCAATCGGGCCGGCAGGGAAATATCATGCACCGGGTCTCTAGTATACATATAAGAGAGCAAATGTGGAGACATGTCAAGCCGTTTCATCAAACCTGTTTCTTAAAACTTCATCCCCTATAATGAAAACACAGACATTAACACACCAAAACAAAACAAAGAAAATGAAAAATCTCTTTCATAGGACTACAACAAACTTGGATTTTATGTTCAGTGTATTTTATATGTTATCTTTTATATTTTTGGCTAAAGATGTTAGTCTGAATCTTAAATTCTGACCAATACACAAACATTCTTGATTAAAATATAATTAAAATTTTAATGAAATTTAATTCATTTGAAATGTAAATTTTAAAATCTTGGTTTATAATGTTTCATAGGAAAACCTTTTTTGAGGTAGGAATGAAGATAATTATGTTTGCTTCTCTTCCCCAGTCAGTTTAGATTCTGAACTAAAGGGGGGTTCACTTGGGGAAAGTGCTGACAGTGTTCCTAGGACCAGAGGGAATACCCTATACTCATATTGAAAAATAAATAAAGATGGCAAATGCAAAAGCATTAAAATCCAAGTCATTCATTCATAATTCAACAGACATACTAAATTTATTATATGCTAGGTGCTCTTTTGGTGCTAGGGATATAACAGTGAACGACTTACACAAAATATCCTTAGTTATGGAGCTATTTTGGCATGGAATACATGTGCCAGATAATAAATAAATAGATGTTAGGTAGTACTAAGTGCTATTATCATAATAAAACAAGACGATGCGATTAGATGATGGGAGTAGAAGGGTAGAGAATGGCCAGTTTTGTCTGTGTGGTGTCTCAGGTATCTGATGTACTCCAGAAGAAAACTGTTTGATCCACAGTGTTTTAAACAGGTTTTTAATTAATTGCCAATTTTTAATATTTGGGAGATTTCACATAAAATCCAGAGTTTTACCTTCTCTTAAAAAATCAGAAGATACAATTATGGTGGATCGGTATTTCTGTATGGCAGCAATTTTCCTTTCAATGGGAAATGTCTCTTTTCTTCATAAGCCCCCCTTTCCTAGCAGAGCTGCTGCTCTCATTTGCATTACTGGCCGGCTTCTGAATTCTGAAGAATTTTCAAGTCCTTCGCTAGTCAAAGACCAGGTGCCAAGATATGGTGTGGAATGGATCCAGGGCATCTAGAAAGTCATGAGCTGAGGGGCAGAGGGGAGCAGGCCTGGACACCTACTAGTATGTGGACATCTGAGATCACTTTTTTGCCTTGTCCCAATACGTCCCATATTGTCCCAATATAATATGGGCTTGTAATGATATACAGAGTCCGTTTTTGAAAAGTGTACAGGGTGGGCCAGAGAGTTTAGTATGATAGATAAAGGAATGAACTGGTAGCCAGGTTCTGCTGCTATGTAGCAATATAATTTCACATGATCACATGTTTTTACATGATCATACATTTTTCTAAAATGGGCAAAGTGAGATATTTTAACCACTGTTTTCTTTCCACTCAGACTTCTGATCTGTTAGACTTTCCCTAGTATCAGATGGCATTGGCATGGCAATGGCATTTTTAGAAGCCAGCTGAGGAAAATTGAGTTGGGAATATGTCACTTTAACTGCAGTATTTGGAAAGTCATTTTGGAATGTTTTAGCAAAACTAGCCAGGAATGGTAGATTTTTAATTTGGAAATATATGAAGACTAGGCTCTTTGCCAGTTTTAAACTTATTAAAGAACTGATAAAAATTCTGATAGTAATTTAATGGCATATGAAACAAAAGGGATAAAGAAGAACAGTAAAATCAATGGAAAGTATTCTGATATTGGGCAAATGGTGACAAGAATATTTACAGAGAGTGTGGGGAGCGTGCGGGCACCGCGGGAGCCTGGGACACAGGAGGTGCGTGCGTGCGGGGGGGGGGGACAGGCCCCACGAAAAAAAAACGGCCTGCAACTCTGGGGCCGCAGCAGGCAGCTCCCGGTGACCCACGTGGATGCCCCTGTGTCCCCGGCCTCTGCCCCTCCAGGAATCAAAGCTTGACTCCCATTCGTGGACAAACAGACCTACAACTCCCGGTGTGGTGAGAGAGTGCGATTTGCTGTCCTGGATTAGAAAAGCAAGTCAGTGAGCGAGGGCCCTGACTCTTCGTCAGCGAGAGAGAGATGGAAGCCTTACATTCTGGGCGTAAAAAGAGGGTCCTTCCCTCCTGGATGACAGCCCAGGGGTCTGAGAAGAGAATGTTGCTGGTGAAGACCCGGAAGAGGAGGAGAATGGCAGCGGTGCCTGGGCTGCAGCCAGACGTCCCGCAGTGAAGCCCAACTTGTCAATGTTGCTCTGGGGGTCCTGATTGAGAACTGAAACCTGGAAAAGGCCTTGGAGCAGCTGCCCTGGCAGGCACTGATCAGCCAGAGCTGTCCCCCACCTGCTCGGAGGGGCCGGCTTCTCCCGAGAGAAGTGAGGGTGAGGACAGTGGGGAAGCAGCCCTCCCCGCAGGCCTGGGTGGCCTCAGGGGTCTGCAGGCTTGGAGCCTGCCTGCAGCAGCAGCCCTGAGGAAGATGAGGATGCATTCAAGTACGTCAGGGAGATATTCTTCAGCTAAGGGACAGGTTCCCAGGACGCTACGGCCGGAACACCCTTGGGCTAGCCAGAAGCCCAGGACACTCAGCCTTGGGAAGTGAGGCATTCGAATGAACTGCCATTAGAATTCCCCTCTGCCTTGTCCTCCCCGGGCACAGGGGTCTGCAATCCCCATGTCTGTGTATTCAGTGACCAGGATCCAGGGAAAATGAGGTCGCAGTGTCAGACGTACTGGCATCAAGGAATCAATTTAATACTTTTCAAACAGAAAAAGGTATGGCTGCTAAATACACCAGAATTGTCCAGTTTAGGCAGCACCATCTCTCTGTGAGGAGGAAGCCGAAGAGAATGTTGCTGGTGAAGACCCGGAAGAGGAGGAGAACGGCAGCGGTGCCTGGGCTGCAGCCAGACGTCCCGCAGTGAAGCCCAACTTGTCAATGTTGCTCTGGGGGTCCTGATTGAGAACTGAAACCTGGAAAAGGCCTTGGAGCAGCTGCCCTGGCAGGCACTGATCAGCCAGAGCTGTCCCCCACCTGCTCGGAGGGGCCGGCTTCTCCCGAGAGAAGTGAGGGTGAGGACAGTGGGGAAGCAGCCCTCCCCGCAGGCCTGGGTGGCCTCACGGGTCTGCAGGCTTGGAGGAAGACCTGGATGTGTTCAAGTACAGGGAGATAGTCTTCAGCTGAGGGACAGGTTCCCAGGACGTTAGGACGGGGCTTTGGCTCGCCTGGGGACTGCTCCCAGCTCCATACCCTTGGGCTTGCAGCCAGAAGCCCAGGACACTCAGCCTTGGGAAGTGAGGCATTCGAATGAACTGCCATTAGAATTCCCCTCTGCCTTGTCCTCCCCGGGCACAGGGGTCTGCAATCCCCATGTCTGTGTATTCAGTGACCAGGCTCCAGGGAAAATGAGGTCGCAGTTTCAGACGTACTGGCATCAAGGAATCAAATTTAATACCTTTGAAACAGAAAAAGGTATGGCTGCTAAATACACCAGAATTAGGTCCAGCAGCCTTAGGGGAACTTCAGAGACTCCCTCTGAGATCTCTCCTGTGCCTTTGGGAGTGGTGTCTTGGGGAGGGAGGGGGAAGGGAGAAGCTTGCTAACCAGGGCCCCGGGGACACTGAGGTGCCCTTAGTGTTCCCCATTTGTCACCATGAACCTTCCCGGGGTCTCAGTTTGGCCTTTGACCAATCATCCTGGAAATCTGGCCCTGGGACAGTTTCTACCATCAAACAGGCCTCTTCTCCTGAGCTGCCCCCTTCCTTCTACTTGGTGGCTTTGGCCTTGATCCCTGGCCACTCTGAAAGTGCATATGGGACAGGCTCCCAAAGTGGACGCTAAGGACAACAGGTCAGGGCAGAGCCCACATTGCCTCTGTATTCAGTGTGGCTTTTGGCAGGCAGAGTGAGGCGACCATTGCTATACAGCTTTTCAATATACAGTGCTGAAAAGTACAATTCCCCATGCAGAAGTGGTGCTTGTATCCTTTCTAGGTCTAGCTTGAGCAGTGAAGGGATGCAGCATTTGTGGAACCATTCAGTCCTGTTCACCCTCCCTGCCCCGCCC